TTAAGGACCGAAAGAGTATGTTGAGTTCCCTAAATTATTTGAAACTTCACTTGAGTGGAAATACCTTATAATCAATAAGGATATTTTTGAATTAGCAAGCTAATGCTTGCGGAGCAGATCGAAGCCGCGACCTGTTGCATCCAAGGCAACTAACGTGCCACTAGTTCTTATATTTATCTAATTGAACTAAGCTATATATTTTTAAAATAGATGAGAAGTATGTGTAATTGATGTAAATTAAAAAGGTAGTTAGAATATATATTTTTTATTATTATTTTAACAAGTAACCCAAAAAACACGCGCGCGCGACTTTGGCACGCCGCAGAATAAGCCAGGTCAAATCAACTTGATTTCCCAACCAATCCAATCTGTTTTAACCTGAAAAATCGGAGTTTTGTGCCACTGGTTTGATTCTTTCTCTAATCATCCTTTGCTAAAAGGAGGATTGGAAGGGAAAAAAAAAGGGAAGAAAATACCCTTATTTTAAAAAAAAGTAATAAACGTTTTTTCCCGGCAAATGAAGGTAATAATGCCCCCCCAAGCACATAAGTATTCAAGAAAATCTCAAAAAAAGCTCTTGGAATATATAAAATTTCAGATTGGGTCCTGTAATTGTGTAAGCGATAGAAAGGGTCAATGACCCAATCTGTCATTTGTAAAATCAAGAGGAATTGACAACTTTGCCTTGGCTAAGCAAAAGTAAGTAGCTATTCTCTAAACAAATCTAGGTAATATTTACACTGTTTTAATGATTATATGATTAGTTATAGTTAGTAACAAGATACCTGACCACGAAAAAGTGAGTAATTATTCTCTACATAAATCTAGATAATGCTTATACTATTCTAGTGATTACATGATTAGTTGTAGTTAATAACAAGGCACCTGACTACAAAAAAGTGAGTAGTTATTCTCTACACGAATCTAGATAACGCCTAAATTCTTATAGTGATTCCTTAAATCATTGTAGTGAATGAATACAAATGAAGGCAAAGTTGTCAATTTCTCTTGATTTTACAAATGACAGATTGGGTCATTGACCCTTTCTATCATTTACACAATCCAGGACCTAATTTAGAATTTTTTATATTCCAAGGGTTTTTTTTGGAATTTTTCCTAAGTATTCTCTCTTGGGCCACTTTTGAATAGTTGATTATCTTTTTTTTGTAAATTTGTAGCAATGAATATTATTTCTTTTTAGGCCAAACAAAAGTCCATATTATTGATTGTCAAAAAATGCCATTACCCACACTAATAGCCCAAAGGCCAGGAAAAAGGAAAAGACTAAAAAATCCCTACAGTACAAACTAACGCACATCTAAACCAAAACAAAGCCCAGGATACAACCTAAAAACATAAAAGAGCAAACAACTGCAAAAAAAAGCAGTAATTGATAGTCACTAGTACTAAACTAAATTTGGCCCAACAAAGTTCCAAGTGAAAAGAATGATACTCCTCCCATCTTTTCTATAAGAGATACTTTTTGAGTATAACCTGTTTGTATTTATAATTGCATTATAAGTTAGATCTTAAGATCAGAGATAATATTTTTTACATGTTTATTATCTCTAATTAATTTTAAGTAATATTTTAATTAACGTGAATTGTCTCCTATATATAGATACCGAAAGGGTATATGTAACTAACTAATGAAGTGGGAGAGAAAAAATCAAAACCACAAATTCTTCACAGAGCACAGGAATGGTATGGTCAAATGCGGTGGTATTATCAAAGATCATCACTATATTGAAAATTGAATCGGAAACTGGCCACTTCAACCCTCATGAGCTAGAAAAATTTGACCCAGGATGAGCCGGATCAATCCAATAAATTTGACCGGTGGTGGGTTAATCCAGTTGCCTTTTTCTTTCTTTTTTTTTAAAGCTGTTTTGCTGAAAAACTTTTTTCTTTTCTTTTTTTATTGCAAGTGACAATTATTATTTAGTGATTGAAAAATTTTATGGAAGAATATTTTGTCATCATATATCTATTTTGACATTTTGCTAGGATGAATACTTATTTAGTGATTTTGGTAGTATGATATTATAATTTCAATTTGTCAAAAAGAATTGTATAGAAGGTTGAAAAGAAATTGTGATTATTTTATTAGTAATTCAAGGTACCGAAGTGATATTTAGTCCTTAGATGGTATGATAAAATTTTAAATTTTTTTTTTCACCGATTTGACTTCTGCGTTGATTTCGATCTAACTCACTGACTCTTGACCAAATATCTCGAGCAGTTCAGTAATCGGTCTGGTTTTCAATACCTTCAAAATCATAGAAAAAAACTTATTCAGGCTTAATATTCAAAATGGAAATCCTTTAATGCCTAAACTTTTGAGTCTTTGAGCATGCCTTATTGGTCTTAAAAGGGCATGGGATGGGAAATAAAGATGATCGAGTTTGTTTGAGAAATGATTATTTGGATGCATTTAAGCTTATATAGGATGGAAATCACAATCTTCATGATAATTGGAATGTAATTTACAAAACCCATGACATGCTTAAACGTGATTGGTTGATTAATGTGTTAGAAGAAAGAGGAACTTTGGAGTTGAAATAGTAGCCTAGCGTGCTTTGGCGGTACCTCAATTTCGCGTAATTCCTTTATATGATTTTTGTTTATTTCATTCTGCATTCTTTCATTATTAAATAAATAAATAATGGAGGGAGAGGAAGAACAAATGTGAGAGCCCAAGGTTCTTTCAATGCATATATATATATATATATATATATATATTCAATTGAATCACTAAAATAACAACACATAAATTTAAATTTGAAAAAAAATCTATGACTTAAAAAAGTAACTAAGATTAATAACCGAAATAAAGACGTTGGAACAAAAAAAAAAAATACGTTGGCAAAAAAAATGAAATAGAGAGCTAAGAAATGAAATGATGCTATTATATTATATTATTTTTATTTATTTCGATTTATCCAAAGGAAAAATCAAGCGTTCACAAAGACCGGAGCCCCAGGATAGAACAAAAAGAAGCACACGGGGAAATTCTTATATAAACCAAGAGTGCCACCTGATTAGTGGTCTGACCAATGAAAAAACAACATTTTATTAAATTTTAATCCAAGTGCCTACTGACTCATATCCTCCTAGGCTATAATTTTCAGCCTGTTTGGCAAGGCCTTTTTGGAGGGAAAAATAGTTTATATGTGTGATAAGTTAGTTTGCAAATTTAAGAACTGTTGCTTATAGTTTTTCACCAATTTAACTTATGGGTTAAAAGCTTCTTTTTTAAACCTGATTACAAAAGCACTTAAAATTTACTTATGACTTATGCAAAAGTGACTTTTTAGAATTAAAAAACGTTTTTGTCCTTATGTTTATGTTGTTCTTATGTTTTCTTTATATATTTTTTGTGCTTTCCAATTAGTTTTTAGTTATTTATTTTAATATTATCTTAAATAAAAATAATTTTTAATAGTTTTATAATATTTTTAATTTCTAATGTTATTCTTCATTTTATATTTATATAAATTGTGTAGAGTATATCATCTAATTAATTATGTAATATTATTTGGTTCAAAAATTTCTACATTACTATTATTTCTAATTTAAATATATTTTATTCATTAAATATAACCTTTTCCTATTATAATAATTTAAAAGGATTATATTTTGTAAATTGATATTTGTAATCATTTTTTATTATTTAATAAAAGTCATATGCATTTTAGTTATTCTACAAACTAAATTTACTTATTTAATTATAATCCAAACAATTTTTTTACTTTATAAACTAACTTTTATAAAAGTCACTACAAAAAAACAGCTGATTAGCGATGGAATTTGAGACAGAAAAAAATTCCGTCGCTAATTTTTTTGATGGATTAGCAACGAAATTTCTGTCCGTCACTAAATTTCATTGCTAATCCGTATTTAGCAACAAAATTAGTGATAGAATCTTTTTCCGTCAGACAATTCCGTCGTTAATCTATCAAAAAAATTAGCGACAAAAATTCCGTCGCAAATTTTAAGAAAATAAATTACATAGGATATATATATAAGTAGGAAAATACTGTTTATCATAATCTATTTAAATCATTTAATTTTTTATATAGAATAATTTATTAGATTTTATTATAGTAGTTATTTTTTGAATAACAAGATTTTTTGACTAATTGTAAATGATTTTCTTCAAATATATAAACCACATATACATAATATAATATAATGTAATATAATATATATATATATAAAATTAAATTGCATATCTTATCAATGTTAATTAAAAATAAATTTAAAAAATATTTATGAAACATTATTTATGATGTAAAATTCAAAATTAGTGTCGTTAGAAATTAAAATTATATTAAAAATATTTTTTAAAAAAAACATTATAAAAATAGTAAAAATATATTTAAAAATTATTTTTTCATTAAAATAGTTATTATTAAAATTATCATATAGTATATTTTTAGTTTTTAATAATATATATGTATATATAATTGTTTGTGTAAAATAATATAATATATATAATTTTACATAATAAGTCAACAGGTTCATTGCAATTTAACTGGTAAAGCCGTACGTGCGCACGGAGGAGGTCCTGGGTTCAAGCCATAGAGAAGTCACTTTGAGAAGGGAATTATGTGGTGGTGACACGTGCCACACATGTGGCAGTGGACGTGAGGTGGCAGCGACACGTGGAGGTGGTCCCTAGTGATGACATGGCAATTAGTAGAGGTGCCATGTGATATTTTATTTTATTTTTTAAAAAATCGATTTAACGAAGAACGGAAATTCCATCCAACCACCAGGTGATGAAGGGAAAAGGAAGGGTTACCGACAGAATCTGCAAGGGAAATTCCGTCCCACCACCAGGTGATGAAGGGAAAAGGAAGGGTAGAAGAGAGGGTGGAAGGGTAGAGGCCAGCAGAGGAGGGGAAGGGTAGAGGAGATCTGAGAATCTGGGTCCTATAAAATCTGGATAACGCTCAGTGCCCCAACCCAGATCCCACGTTTTCAGAATAGCAAGGCAGCACATTGAGGAACCCACAGCTCTAATCAATGGCGACCAAGCTAAGGTATGAGTTTTGAAAAGCCAGACAATGAACTGGAAATCGCCGATGACATTGAGAATAATTTCGTGTGGTTTTTGCAGGTTGGAGGGTAAGGTGGCCATTGTAACCGGAGGAGCCAGTGGGATCGGAAAAGCGTCAGTGCAGTTATTCGCGGAAAACGGAGCATCAGTGGTCATAGCAGACATCCAAGACGAACTGGGTCACCAACTCGCAGCTTCGTTGGCCCCACATCAAGTGAGCTACCATCACTGTGATGTGAGCGACGAGAAACAGGTGGAGCAAACTATAGCTTTCGCCGTCGACAAATACGGCCGCCTCGACGTCATGTTTAGCAACGCCGGCGTCGTAGGCTCCATGGAAGACATACTGAACCTAGACCTCAAGGCATTTGACAAAACCATGGCCATCAACGTCCGCGGCGTGGCTGCCACCATCAAGCACGCGGCTCGAGCCATGGTGGCTCATAACATCCGTGGCTCCATCATCTGCACGGCCAGCGTGGCTGGTTGTGTGGCCGGATGCGCTCCCCATGATTACACCGCATCGAAGCATGCTCTTGTGGGCCTCGTCCGCTCTGCTTGCTGCGAGCTCGGAGCTCATGGGATCAGAGTGAACTGCGTGGCGCCATATGCTATCGCCACCCCTCTCGTATGTGGAGCGCTTGAAAAGGGGGTAGACGAAACTGAAGCCCTTGCCGATTCTCTCGCTAACATGAAGGGTATTTCATTGAAGGCTTCCCATGTTGCTGAAGCTGCCCTCTTTCTTGCTTCTGATGAATCTGTGTATATCAGTGGACATAATCTGGTCATCGACGGAGGCTTCACTGTCATTAGTCGCTTCCCTTAATTTCTCGAGATCTTTTATGAAACGTTGGCTTTTTGCCTCTGGTGTGTTGAAGGTGCGGGAGAAGAGCATGTGAGTGAAGTACATTTAAATAAGCTCTTTATCTCTCATTATTTCTAGAATTTGGGGTTAGTTTTCTTTCCAAAAAAGTTACTTCTCCCGTCCTAAATATAAAACTCTTATACATATTAGTATAAAGGTCTTAGATTTAGAATTGGAGGAGTGTTGTTGTATTTATTTATTTGAAATGCTAAATAGTATCCCCCGTCATATCATGGTCGATGCATTATAATCATCCTCCTAAGCAGTTGTTGTACTTCAAATAAATCCATGCCTCATCAATATAAAATAATTTGCCCCAGAGTCTTATTTCAAATCATCAGTATGATAGTGCACAGGTGGTCTTTACTATTGTCATCGGTGACCTTATGATACAAGGAGGGGTTTGATAATCCAAAGCACGACATTTCAAATCATCATGAGTTCAATCTTGACTGGTACAAAAGTCATCGTACTGCAACACAGGGATGACTATAAACATAATTAATTGAATAGTAAGCTAATAAGAATTGATTTAAATAGTTTTGATGAGAAAAACGATTTTAAATATAAAGCTTAATTAACTAATTCATGAAAATTAAGTAATTTGATTATTTATCTATAAAAATTATGTGTCGCTTTTCTTTGGAAAATACTCCACCTTTTAATAAAGATATTTAGATGGGAGATATAAAGAGGATATGAAATATTACGAAATTAATAAGAAAAAAGTTATTAAAAAAATTATTAAATACGGAGACAAAGTGACTCAAAATTCTAACGCATAATCAAATTTCGTTTATCAATTATTAGGTGATATATATTAGAGCTAAGAAATGGTCTTTAAATTTTATGCAAAACACAAATTAAAAGTTGCAGTGACATATAACTAGAAGTTTGGGGGGGAAAAAAGATTTAGAGGAAAACAATGTGCGAGGTTAATTAATATTGTGACATTGTTACTATTTATAGCAAGACCAAGTGCTTCGTTTAAAATTTTCTTCAGAGTGGATAATGACAACCCTTAAGATTTGTTTTGTAATTTTTTTTTCTTTCTTGGATCCTTATTGTAATTTTCCATTTAATTTACCGCCATGTTTGTTTGTTTGGTGATTGGGAGGTTTATGGAAAATTATTACTCCCTCCGTTTCTTATTATAAAAGACATTTGATACTTATGGCATGTTCCTATATATAAGAGACACTCAAAAGTTGTCTCTACTTTTTTTTGTTGATTTCTTATTTTACCCATATTTATTGTCTCCAACTCACACTCTCTCTCCCTCCCACTTCTCTTTCCTTTAATAATTTAATTATTCTCTCTCATGCTCTCTCTCCTTATTAAGGAGGGTATTTTTGGAAAAAAATTGTACTTTTTATACATTGATTGTTCTTAACTAATTTTAATAATTTTTTTTATTAACGTAATTCAGTTATTTGTCTTTTATAATAAAGAAGGGAGGGAGTAATTATTATGTAACTTTATTATCCGTTTAAAATTTTCTTCATTCCCAGTCTTCTTGTTTCTAATGAAAACAATGATCGATGACGAAGAAGAAGAATTGTGACAGAACAAGAAAAAGAAAAAAGAATATGATGCAAAGTACGAACAAGGAAGAAAAGTAAGATTAGCCTTTCTTATGCTAAAAAGAGTAATACATACAAGAAATGGTGAATTCTGAGCCTTTTTCAAAAACCCAAAAAAGTGGAAGTGTTAAAAAAAAAAAAAACCGAACCATGATAAGGGTATAATGGTCAACTTAATTATATTTTATGGACTATAGAATGGTTTAATCCTCCTCATCGCAAATGGCTACTAGGCTGTGTTTTATCTTCTTCTTTTTAAGCCTTTTAATTCAAAAACAAGATATGCCAAGATATTATAGTATATCCAATATTAAAATAAATATACACAGTTACACAATATCCACATTATACGTCAATTTAATTAAAATAATCTCAAATATTTAGTATTACCTCTCATCTTTAATGTAAAATTCATTTGACTAATTTAAAGAAATTAAGAAAGTTAAACAAATATTATATTTATTATTTTTTTCCAAACTAATTTATTGGGCTTATAAACTGATATATAATTTAATGATATATATAAGGTTTTAAAAAGATCATGTAAAATATTTAGCTTCCTTAATTTTTTCAAATCAGTCAAATGGATTTTATATTAAGATCAATAATAGTATTATAGTAATATTTTAATTTCTATTTAGTTTAATGCTTAGTAATTAAGAAACATCTCGTGCATAGCAGGAGTGCAAAATTTTTCTCCGAAATTACAAATTCTCATGGCTTTGATTATATATATCCACTCGCACACAAAAACACACCCATCCACGTTCTTATGCTTAGTTATATCCCAACTATTTAACTTGATAATTGTATAATAAGATGGGTCCGCATGCTCTGCTGATCCCCCAAACGGCACTGTTTGGGGGTGAGACCCATCCCTTTTTTTCCCCCTAATTTTAATTAATTTTTATTTTTATTTATTTGGGTTAAGATGGATTCAATATTCTAAAAAATTTTTAGAAGTGGACATTATTCTAAATTGATTAATTTTAGTGTATACAATACCATAAAGTATATTTTTAAAAAGGAAAAACCATATTGAAGGTACCTATACTTTCTCTCAATTTTTAATTTGGTACCTATGTGTTTTTTTCCCTTTAATTAAACATTTAATTTTATTTTTTTAGCAACATTAACTCTTATAACTTTGTTCTATTGATATTTTTAGTCTTTATATAAGGATTAATGATGTTAATAGAGGAAAAATAAAGATTTAGTTAAGAACAAAAAACACATAGGTACCAAATTGAAAATTAAAAAAAAAGTATAAGTACCTCCAATATGGTTTTCCCTTTCAAAAACACTAATATCTTAAATTCATTATTTTTAGTGCATTCAGTATTTAAAAATATTTTTTCAACAGCACTTAATATTCCAAATTAATTAAATTTTAGTGCATTTAATATTAGGAAATATTTTTTGGTCCTAAATTAATTAATTAATTTTTAGCGCATGCAGATGCACTACAAAATTTTTAGTAGGTATTGGGTGCTACTAGGCACTAAAAATTAATTAATTTATGATACTAGGTAAAATTTTTTTTTATAGTACTATATATAATTAAATTCAAATAAAATTAAAAAAATTAGAATTAAAAAAAAAACCAAGAAAGCAAGTTGGCATGTCATCGAATGGATGAGGGAATGTGGATTCCTCCCTCTCAAGTTTCTTAGGATTTCTTAGTTATTTATCTAAAGATTTTAAGGAACTTTTTAGTAATTAATTTTTTTGGATTGGGATTTTTATGTAATTTTCTCTTAGTATTTTTTCACAAGGCAGAATTCTATTTTTTTTCACTGTTTGCAGGTTCTCGGTAAAAAAGCCACTGTTTACTCCACACTCCTATTTTGCTTGTTACTCCCTGCGCTTCTTTCTCTGCGATTTTTTCTGGTAAAAAAAATTTAGATTAGTTGGATCTTAGGTGCTCGTCAGAGTTAGGATATACTTCTAGGTTCAGAGAATGCTTATAGAGATACTTACAGATTGTCTATTAACAAGATTTTCATATCAGTAGCGAGATTTCAGCTTACGACCTTATGAGTTATGAATTGATTTCTTACCAACTGAATCAACTCTTGTTGGTTCCCTATCATTTTTTTTTAATGTGGCCATAAAAATAGAAAAGACATAGTTAGAAAGAATGGATGACCGACAAAAGTTTTTTTTTTTTTTAAATGATTCTGATAGAGTAGCTTCGGCATGGGAAAGAATGAAAAGATAAAGAAGGCTTATGTAATACTACTTCATATGTTAAATATAAAAGTTATATTGACTTTTAATTTGATTTTAAATATAAGATTTCAATTTATCTTGTCTCTTATATTTATATATATTTTTTAAAATAGTCCTTGTAATAGTTGCATATATTTAATATTCAATTATATGATAGTTTTAACTAATACATGAGTAATAAGGGTATTTTAGAAAAAAACAACACCCAATTATTATAAATAACTAATTCAACAAACTTTCTTAATCTACTCAAATTAGTCAACTAATTTTTATATTAAGAACCGGAGGTAATATTTAATTGGGAATTTTTTTTTTTGGTTTTAAAATTTTTATACTCAATTAAAACTCATTCCTCAAGTATAGTCAGTATAACTTAATCTTTCAATTTTTAAATCACTTGCTTAATCTATGATTTGTTCTTTTTCATATTTGGCAATTATATTCTTATTCTTTATAACTCATTACAAGTTATCATTGAGTCAGCCTACATGATAAAAAAAAAAATACCATTAAAAATTCTAGTTCAACATGAAGTGTTGCCTTGGGGATCAGAAGGTCTTTTCATTAAACAAAACTAGTCACCGTAATTAGAATCAGAAGTAGTCAATTTCTAAAGTAATGTACTCAATAGAAGGATTTCAAATAACTAATTTACGGATAATAAATAATTAGTTAAAAATAATAAATAGGTTATAAATATATTTTTATCTTTAAATATGTTCTTATAATAAATGAGAAAAAAAACGAAAGAGAATGTATTGAAAAAAAATGTGATAAAAGGGAGCATAACAAAAAAGAAAGAATAAAAGCTACGTGGGACTTGGTCAAACAGGGTGCAGAGATGGTGCAGAGGAATGGGGTGCCTCAGGTTCGGTGGAAACATGAAAAGAGTGGAGTGTTTTCAGTAAAATCAGCCTACCAACTAGTTGCGAAGGAGCAGAATCGACAGAGCCCTGAGTGGGCGAGAATTTGGAGACTACGGATTCCACAACGGTGCAAGACGACGTTGTGGTTAATCCTGCATGATAGACTATTCACGAATGAAGAGAAATTTCGACGAGGATTGCATCAGGATGGGACCTGCAAGTGGTGCTCTGGGAAGAAGGAGGACATCATACATATACTTCGTGACTGCGATCTAGCTAG